CCATTTTATATTATTTGAAAACGAGAAAAACCAAGCCTTTCAGAAAACGTACTATAGAGGTAAGAGCTATTTGCGTTAACAGTTTAGACGACTCTGTAGCACAAATATTCTTTGCTTTCTCAGAATTTAAACACTATTTGCTGGTAGCATCGCAACTTTTTGACTCACTTTAAAAGAACTATTTATGTGAATCACGATCTAGAAGTGACGTTGATATATATATATATATAGAGTGAAAATTGCTACTTTTCTGACAAGCAAGACAGACAGGATCAACACATCATTACAAACATGACCTACATCTTAGCATCGTTTCTCTTTCACTCCAAATCCTGCAAGATGCCGTAGGAACACTCCTCCCAATTCTATACGAGTATAAACGGCAAGCAGCTGAGTGCAAGAAAAAATAATTGGCAACAGTTCACCAATTTGTATATCGTAAAGTTGCAAAAGTGTTAATAAAAAATATAGAAACAATCAATATAAGTGTCCTGGCTGCAGAAGGATGCTCGTAGAACAGGGAATCATGAAATATGTGAAAGCATGTGTCAAAATTGAAGATTGATATAAGAATAACCAAATTATATAATAAAACTACAAGTGGATTGTGGAATAGCTATTGCAAGTAAGACTCAGAGTGGAATACTGGATATTATTTAAACTTGCTAACAAGGAGGATGATAGATTGATTAATTCAGTCTCAATTCTCAATGGTAATCAATTACACACTCTTCAAAGATACAAAGCAATAAATTTTTTGTTAATTTTATTTTTTTTAATATTTTCTCTTCCTCACCTCACACCGGAAACGATAACGTATCTTACTACTACTGTCAACACTTCTCCGTCCATGCGTAACAGACATTGCTGATATACGATTAAAGACTGTATATCAATAACCTCTCGTTCTAAAATATAAACTACTTTCTTATTGCATTTCTGGATGATTAGGTAAAAGAATGGGGAATAAATGTATCACAAAGTAGAAAGAATAAAACAATCTTTCTATGATCAGTAAGAGATGTTGCATCATGTTACATATTTTAATCCTACAGAGATCACGTTAACGTCTTTTTTTTCCAGGAAATCTTTCTAAAAATACTTTACATTATCGCAATAATGTTTTTCTAAACAAACTACTAAAAAAAAGCAAGTATAATTTTCATAATGTATTTAAACAAGTTTTCGATTAAAAAAAATCCAGAATAAATGATTGAAAGTCATTTTGAAATGTGTGACATTCTCTTTAATATATGTGTAAGTTGTAATCATTAGCTGATTACCAATAATTAAGATATAGAATAGTTTTCTTGTCACTGCTTTAGTCGCAATGACAAGTTGATAGTATATTGTTTCTGAATATCATAAGTAGCAAGATCGTAATTGTCTATTATAAAAAAAAAAGTAAAGAATATATAAATGCAACCATGATTACCGTTCAGAGGCTTGCCCATCCATGAGAGAGATTGTTGATCTGCTGGAATGCTTAGTCTCTGCTGAATTTTACGCTTTATTTCCAAAATAGTGTCAGATGATTTAACCTAAAAATTTTCTTAAATCAATGATTATGAATATTCGTACTTAAAATATTTTACTGTTACAAAGATTGTTTGTCCAGTAACCGACTATAAATAAACATCATATAATATATAAATAAAAGATTGTTGGTAATTATTATATAAAACAATACTTAATTACCTGAACAAAAATTTGAAACGCACTTTTGCATTGAAGTGCTTCTAAATCATTTTGACTAATTGAAGCTGTTTGTCGTGATTCATTATTTTCAGTACGTTGTTGTGTTCTTAAGAAATTTGAATTTCGTTTTTATTTCATAGTTTAGATTTAAAAACATATTATAATTGCAAGATGTACTAAGAAATGAATATAGTATTCTCATAACTTACAAAATCATCATATATAAATATCTATACAAAGTCATTTTTAAGAGTAATTTCAAATCTAAGCTATACATAATATCTTCTTAGATCAGCATGAATTTTTTTAATTATTTAGAAACGTTTGTAATCAAACATAAATTGCAAGGTCTTATAGAGAATAGTCTGATCACTAGTGAAGCGTTACTATACATTTTTCACAGTATGTGTATTCTGGTATTAGTGCAGCTCTACTTTTTTCCTATCAATAAAACACATAATACTGATTTACATAAATTTGATTTGTATTTACAAAATTGTCTTTTTATAAGGAAATTTCTGTGCATAATTGAAAGAAAATTCTGACATTTACCTGTTTCCAGAAGTCGATGCAATAATTAAATTATCATCAATAACTAATGGACGCAAATTAATTTGAATATTTTGAAGAGCATTGATTTCTTGTTCAATTGATCGAATATCATTAGTCAATGAATCAATATTTTCACGAGTGGCTCCTTGTTTTCGAATAAGTTGATCTAACATACCTCGTGTTGCATGAAGTTTTTCCAATGGCTTATTCTTTTTTTGTTCAAATAATTCATGACGCATACGTTCGTAGAATCGATCCACAGTATCATGAGCTGAAATGCGCCATTGTTCAAGTGCTGTAAAACTAGACGATGAAGTCGGATTGAAATGTTCAAGACCGTCCAAAAATGTATTGATCTGATTGGCAAGTGGAATTAATCGGGCATTAAGTTGGTCTTTGTGTTCTTTTAAATGATCGAGACATAGATCATTTTTACAACAATGACATACAGCACACGAAAAAACTTCACATTTTTTAATAGCGCATGGTCGAGTCTGAGACGCCATTGATACGTTTGATTACTTGGAAAAAATGACGTCAGGAAAGAAAATGTCGACACAACTTGGAAATAAACATTTTTTCCTTTCTGTCACACATGGCTTTATTGTAGGTAACTGACGCAAAGAACAATAGAAAAAAGAATAACAACCAAAACAATCAAGTTAAAAAAAACCCAGACACATGAAACGTACAGAATGTTGATTGGAAGACGAAATTTTAATAACTTGAAGTAAAATTATATATAGTTCACAAAATAAATAGTTTACTTTCATCTAATCAAAATGACATTTAATTAAATAAAAAGATATTATAGATCGTGTGCAGATGTCTATGTTTTTTTTTTGTAAGTGTTGTTGATAATGTCGAAAAACTGGTTTTAATTTTTGTTATCATGTCTATTCGCAAGTTATCAGACATATAAATATTCATAGGTAATTGAACAAATAGAAATTCAAGTCTATTTAACTGCAAAAAAATGAACAATCGAATAGTACGCTGAATATTACCGATAGAAAATTTATGCTTAAAACAACTGTTGCTGTTTCTGAAATAAATACAGATTTTTAGATGATTTTAAAAGAATCTGTATCAATAGTGAGATCATATAATAGCATAATCATTTCATTTATTTCTTTAGACATGATCGAAGCATTTTGTAATGAAAATAAGGGAAAGAGATGATGGTTTATTTCGTTATGAATTCAGTGTGTATTTTATTATGACGAACAATGACAAACTGGAAGAGTCACGTTATCATTACTCTCGGCATAGATGTTCGACATGCTATCTGGGTGTGGGTATGAATGCGAGTATTTTCATCGCACTTGCACCTTTTTTATCGAACGATACTTACACTCAGTATCGATAACATATGATTGTATACTAATAAACTCCTCGTTTTATATTTCTTTTTTCACCTAGATACGATGATGAGCGAAGGTATTACACTAATCTACGCCATCTCAACAGGCAAGCGAGAAACAGAATGTTTTTTTTTTCAAAAGATAACTATAGTTGACCACCAGATTTTTTGTTGACAATGATATAAAAATGATAAAAGAACTGCATGGTGAGCATTATCACTTTTCTCAGCAAAAATAAACTAAGTAACATCAATCTCACTATCAACGAACTCTTTTCCCTAAGATGAATATTCACAAGATTTTTCACGTTAGTTGGTGATATTTTCTCTCTAACGCTCATCGACTGCCATGAATCACGCCCTCTTTGACCTTATATCACCGCCATTCTTCATACTATTCTGAAAAATTCTCCACAATGTGCTCATGAAATCGAACCTAGTGTAGTGAAATGGGTTTTTAAAACCTAGCGGGTGAGAGAGAATATTATTGCTCATACAAAATCGATACCTTTAAGTAAACGAAAAAAGCTACAATATTTACTCAATTGTATAGATTCGAAACTCATGTGATCTTGATAAATGAATTTTTTTTCATCACCTTACATTAGGTTGTTCAAGAGAGAAAAAAACGACATGTTTGTAGTCCGCATAATCTCAAAAGTCATCAGAGTTTTGCTTTTTTTCCTGAGACAAATACTATGTTAGCATTTTATATTATCTATATGGTGCTGATTTTACTTTTTTATTTTGGAAAATCAACAAATTTGTGCAGCATCATTTTCTACAGTGATTCACTTATGATAGACAAAGTAAATGATGGTGACATTCAGAAAGTCAAAAGTGAAACCTTGTTACTAGATGATATCGACCTATCTGAACAAGATCTCAGTGATAAAGCCAAGATTCAATTTAGCTTTCATAGTGATATTCTTAAAGCACAACAATACCTTCGCTCTCGTATATTCGCTAATGATAGACTAACTCCTGGAGGAAAACATATTGTATGTGCAAATCTGGTACGTAGACATAACAACGTCAAACAAGTGCTCAACTATTTGGCTTCTAAGATGTCATCAGCTATAACATCGACAAGAATATCGAACACACCGATAATTATCATTTGCGGCATGCTACGTACAGGTACAACTTTACTCTATAATTTGCTGGCATGCGATCCCAGCGGTCGAGCACCACTTGTTACCTATACGTCGGTAGAACCTATTCCACCAGTTTTGCGTTCGAATGTTGAAGAGCATAAACGTCGCGAGCAAGCTAATCAAATCTTTGGAAAGAAACCCTTGAAGTCGCTGGTTTTATCGATCCTGAAAGAACTAATAGCTCGGCATCCCATGCTGAATTTGCTATTGAAGAAGATATTTTACTTCAGATGGAAGCTGGATTGGATTATGCATTCGGCCTTCTGGCTCCTGAAAATGATGAAGTCTTCGAATGGCTGGATGATACGACCAATAAAGACTTTGCCTATGACTATCATTCAACAGTCTTACAAATGTTGCATGATGTTGATCCACCTCGTTCACATTGGGTGCTCAAGTCCCCAGAGCATATACTTTGGATTGATACTTTGTTAAAATATTATCCACATGCATCACTTATTATGTCCCATCGACGACTCCAAGAGGTATTTCCTTCAGGTTGTCGCCTAGTACTTGCTTGGACCAACATCTATTTTGACAAAGATGATTAACAAGTTTACAAATAGTAGCCAAAAATAATCTTCATTTTCTTGACATGTGTATTCGACGTTTGATGAAATTTCGTACTCGGCAACCTCCACCTCAAAACGTGTTTGACATTCAGTATGTTGATTTAGTCGAAAATCCTATTGAAACTGTTCGGCGCATTTATGAACATTTCAATTTTTTACAATGGTCTAATGAATTTGAAGAAGCCATGCGCCAATGGTTGCGTGACAATCCTCAAGGAAAACAAGGTAGTCACACTTATTTTCTCGATGAATTCGGATTGAAAGATGCCGATATCGACGAACGCTATCAAGAATACACGAAAACTTTTCGAGAAGGTTCCTAGTTATTTTTTCTGTGATGTTGAAGAAAAAAGAAGCAGGAGACAAATGAACTTATGCCACAAGAAATGTGTCACACATTCAGTTTTAAATAAAAAAAATTAAAAAGCAATAGAATGACTTATTGATTGATGCAGAAATCTTCTCGTTCATGTGCAGAAGAAATCAGTAAAAGATAATATATCATGATGATGCGTACAATAACAACACTTGTACAACATAATTATTCTTTTCCACTTTCACAGATGACACTACATTTTCAAAGTAGCAATATTATTCGTTGAGACATTTTTGTCGACAATATTTTATTAAAAGGACACTTTGTTGATAAATTTTGATCAGCTACTGTTTGGTTGGTAAGGTTTTTGTTCAAAAAGGACCGAGCTCGAAAAATTATGAACCAAAGAATAAAACATAGCCGATAATTTCAATCGTAAAAGTCAGTTTGCTGGCGTAAAATTTAGGATTCAAACCAAAATTATTCGTATCGCTCAAATTTTTTATCATTTCTAGCTATCATATTTGTATTTATTCATCTCACTACTATTCTGTTCGCTATATTCAACTATCAGGCCTCGCAACCGTATTACTGTCCTGATTTTTTTAAATGTGTCCTGATTTTCCTGATTTTGATCGAAAATCCTGATTTTCTCCTGATTTTGCCTGATTTATTCCTATAGAACTATTACTAAGCGGTTATTATTCATTCTTTTATTATCATCAGCTTATTCCTCAAAATTTATCTAAAAATATATCTATAGACTAAATTAAACCAAAAACAAAGATGATATTCACATAATAGTTAGCTCAGCCACTCGTTTTTTTTTGTTTTTGTAATCGGTGTAAGTTTTCAACATTTTCAAATAATTGAGTTTTCAATACATAGCTAGCTCAGCATTAGCAATCAGACATGTGTTTCGTGCTTAAAAAACTAGTTGAGTGCAGTATGAAGGTCGCTAATGATCGCAAAACATCTGTGAAGTCGACCATTGCCCTAAACTCTTTTGGCTCGGCGGTCGCATCCCACAACAAGTAGAAATTTGTTCCGTGTTATTTTTTCATATGTGTTGCGCTATTATATTTCTTGAAACTAGTGTTTCATTTCCGAACACTCGTGTAGGGACAATAGTATAGATTTTAAAACACCACGAATGAACATTTAATTAGAAACTATGTATACACACGTATAAGGGATAGCATATTATGAATGAACCTTTCTTCTTCTGTATTTTCGAAAACCTTAAAACGTTTCTAGAAACATGACTTGTAAAGAAAAAAAGTAGAATATTTTGCTTTACAAGAATATTAAGTCCATAGACAAAAAATTATTGTTTTTATATGTAAGCATACTAAACAGAAAAAAGTATGAAAATCAGTACTGCCTCTTTAGTAGAATAGAACTGATTATAATAGTTGAATTTGAGGACTTTTATTGATCGATGTGTCAACATCAAACCTTTATCTTTGAATCGAAATTTTCAACAAGATTGACTATCTTGTTCAAAGTGAGCTTCCAGTTTGAAAAAGTTAAATTCATAAAAGAAATTCGGGTGGGATAGTTAAATGATAACGTGGATAAGTAAAGAAAAAGAAATCATATTATTGACTGAAGAAAAGGAAAAGATGAAAAGTGCATTAAATATAAAATTAGATGGAAATATTTGTTCGAACTACTTCGAAGTTCGCCTTGAACAGAAAATCAAAAGATAATCGTTCCATATAAATATATATCAGCCCAGAGTACGTTAAAAAATGGATGACAAACGAAATCTTATTTTCTGCTGAATTCGTTTTCATATTGATGAACTTTAAAATAAAGAATTTTGTCTAGTGACTTTATCTACTTATAAAGCGCAAACTGTGTTCGCAGATGTATCCGACCAGAAAAATATTCTAACTAACCCTTTCAGATCCACCATGCTAAATATAGTACGGTTTCTCAAGGTTCATAATCCTTGAATAGCTCTCCAATGCAAAAAGATATCAAGAAACAGTTTTCTCTATTACATAGAGGAGGTTTCAATGTACATATCTATATAAGAGTTATCATCCTAATAAGACTACTAAGGTAGTAAGTCTGATGAGACTTTGCAGCAACATTTCTATTTTAAAAAGGAGGGCGAACAATGCCCTTTTGTGGCTCGCGAAATGGTTTGACTTTTACTGTTGAAGTCAAGTTAGGAGTGACCCGTAGTGATATTTCAAATATTGATTTGTAGATAAGTCTCAATCAAATTTTGACCCATACCCGTACTTCCTTATGGAACTAAGCAAAATATTTCATCATTATTTTCTTGGGAGTGACGGACATGGACTGAAAATGATTTTAAAGGTTTTACAAAAAAAGTTTTGATGAAAACAGCAAGAATGCATAATACACATCTTAGCTATAAAATCTCAACGAAATTTCATTCATTACTTTAGCTATGACCCAGACAAGGTTAACCGTAGTTATTTCCTACACGTTTATGCAAATTTGATTCTGAAAATCACTATCAAAGTGAATTCCACTTTTCCTGATTTTTTTATAAATTCCTGATTTTTATTAAAAATTTTCCTGTCTGCTTTCCTGATTTTTGGATATATGCCGCTGCGACCCCTGAACTATATATGATTGACTAATTTTTATTGGTCAAATATAGTCTTTGTCTCAGAACAAAGAAAAATGCTATAACTATAAAAGGAAGGAACGAGAAGGAGTCCCATTTCTTTTAAAGATTGAGGCGTCAGTTGTCCCATATCGTTGTGTTCATATTCGACATCATCAGGAACATCTTTGACGAGTTTAAATAGTACTAACTAAGAAGTTAACCTGCCCATCTATAATATTTGAGACTTTTTTAAATATTGCGCAAGATGTTTATTCAGATATTCTAGATTATTCGTAAAATGCGCTAGGACAATCGACTGTCATTCATAATGTTCTGCGTTTACTGAATAAGATAAACGACACTCAATCTTTTTTTTATTTAAGTAGAAATAACATTGAGACGGAAATTTCTATGACTAACATGTTAGCAGAGGCCGCGCGAAGGTCCTAAGATTGGGGGGTGTAAAGGAGCTATTTGCAATAAAATTTCACAAAATAAGCCCAACACTAGGGGCGTAACCAGGAAAAATCCGTAGGGAGGGCTCAGCCCCCCTCTCCCCAACTGTAGACAACGAAACAACATAATTCTTTGTCTAGTTTTTTTAGTTCGTATGACGTGTATAAAAATTGAATAGCACATACGAAACCCTATTGAACGTGCTACAAAACGCATATTTACCTGTTACAGACACCCTTTTTCGAACCAATTTATCGAAAATATCGAGAATTTCTTTTGCTCCTACCCGTTACTTACTGTTTAGTGCATCCCTAGCTCCAAGAGACATATCTGGCGTCAAAATATAAGAAGAGCAAAATGTTTTATACCATATAAACTGTTCCTCACCGTTCTTTTCTATACTATTGTTTGGACAATACCACGCAGTGAGAAATTTTGTTTCTTCTTAGACTCTAAAATTTCTGATGAGATAATAGCGGTATAAAAAGCATTGATTTATTATTTATTCAAGGAGAGCATGCCGCCGAAGGCGGCACCTTTTTGGAACGGAATAAAAACGGTTTTACTAAAATATTGTATAGTTCAATGAAATAAAAACTCACGCTTCTGGAGTGACAAGAACGAAATTATAGCACTCATATATGTTCAGCCACTAAAGTCCTCTACGCTTTCAATCGCTGTGTTAAAAGTGGAAGATAAACGCAAGGCGTATACAAAGCTTCCCATTGCCTAAGTCACACAGATAAACGAATCATATTTCAAATGCTAATTCGAAATGGAGAGAAGACTGATCAAAATGAAAACTAATGGGACAGACCTAAGTCGCGAAGCGAAAACTTCTTAAAAATGCAAGAAAAATGTGCACTAGAAATTCATTTTCTAAGGGATTTTCCTTCGAGTTCTGGACTTCTTATTGTTGATGATGCCTGCTGTTATGAATAAGCTGTATGTTGATTTCTATTATTACAGAAATGAAACGCAATTTTCTTTAATAAAAGGGGATAGAAATTTTTATAGGGGGGCAAAATCTTTCGTAGGGGGAGCTCAGCCCCCCTTACCCCCCTCTGGTTACGCTACTACCCAACACGTACAAAAAATCTACTCTTGTCGCTGGAAAAAATTGAAAATTTTCAATTATTGGGGGGGGGTGTACACTCCTCCCCACCCCTCCCCCCCCCCCGCTTCCGCGGCCTCTGCATGTTAGTATACATTAATTATGGACACGTACTATATATGACTTAAATATATGATCTAATTCTCAGTATTCCATTTAAAGTGAGAAAAATAGCTGTGTTATTGTTTTTGATCAGCTTATAATACTTTTTTCTGATTTTGAATCACGTCCCTAGAATTTTTGGTCTATTTATCTTCCACACAATCGCTATAGTATACCAAGAGTGTCAAAGTAAACACAAAATTACGGTACGGTTTATTCGTTAAAAAAGGATTAAAGTGATTCTTTTGTGTGAATATTACAGATTCTTACAGAGAAAGAGTGATATAAATAATTAGCCGAAAAGGTCAGAAATAATAAATTTGAGGTAGTTAAATACTGTTCGACAAATTTATTTCAATTTTAATTATTTTATTACAATTTAAGTGACGCTTCTTTCT